AAAAAACCTCTTTTTTAATTATACTTGAAAATACTTCAAATTCGAAGTGGACTTCATTTTCTTATTGTAAATGAAATCTAATGAAATATTTTTTATTTTCGCATTTTTTTTTTCAATAAATTGATTAATGTGATTGGCAAAAAAAGACAGTTGGAAAGTGTAACTTTTTCAGGCCAAAATGAGCTGTAAGAGAACTTGCAGCTTTGTTCCTGAAAAAATGACTTCACGTACTTTCAACTCCAGTTGTTTGAAAGATTGTGGACTTGAAATTAGATTAAAAAACACAAATTCAATAATGTAAAATATGAGATTTTTTTTTAATTTCAAAGTCTGATTTCTCATTTAATGTAATAATTTTTTATTTTTGCCCAAAATGGATCTAGTTTTAGGCCCCCAAAACCCACATACGATTCAAGGACGCGCCAGTGTGGGAAATAGACGACATTGAGATGAGTTATTGTCTGTCTACGTCTACACAAAGCACACACGAAAAACCCGAATCGATTTGAATATAATAATCTTTGATTCACACACGATTATTTAAAAACAAAAACCGTTTAAGAAAATCTCGTACCATGACTAATTATTCCAATGACTAACTAACCTAGAGAATTATGCATTTTGTAATTATGGGAAAACAAAATCGGTCGCCTCTTCACCGCCTAATTAAAATAATCGCGAGGTGTGTACTGTGCAACATGCATTAGAGACGGATCTACGGTAGGTCGCTTCTTAATCGATATCATTTCAAGGAAATAATCTGCGAAAAAGTCGTCAACGACGACGCAAGAAGATCAACATGCCAGACACAGCAAGGTCGAAAGTGGGCAACAAAACTAAATACGTGTAAATAGTAAATTCTGTAAATAGAGTTGATAAAAACGAAGAATCGAAATAACACCCGAAGAGGAGGATTCAATGACCCGCCTCCAGGCGAAATCTAACTCAATTCGAGCTCTCGAATTCTCTTTGAACAAAAACCTATCACCACTCAAGGTGGAGGAGAAAAAGCGAGATACTCCTGATGGCCTCGGCCTTCACATGCCATCATTTTCGAAGCCTCTGACTGTTCTTCCAGTTACGAATTTCGCGCCAACAAGGCGAAAAAATTTACATCAGCGGAAATGTCTGTCTGAAAGTCTTAACAAAGTGAAACAATTTAACTTCTTGTAGTGATTTAACAATCAAATCCATTTAAAGAAAATTAAAGCCCACTTTTTGAGATTTATTTTTTGTTCTAAGCCCACTTGACGTTATTTTTAGTGTCAATCTAAACTACCACATGATGCTACTCTTGATTAAATAAACGAAATTGTAGTAAACAGTTTCTTAACTCTTGATATAGAACATAGAGTTCAGGCCAAGATGTGTAAAACATCTGCCTTTTAAAAAATAAAAAAGCGACAACAGCTTGTTCAAGAGGCTCAGGAAAATGTTTCAGATGCTGGATAATGACCCCAAATTTAACGGAAGTTTTTTTTTTTTTTTATACAAAAGTAAATAAATTGTCATCAATATGGTATCAAATCGGATGTGATTAAACGAATTGTTAGTCAGCCGAAAGCTTATCTAACTAAAAGTATGATTTAGTAAATTATGGACTAAAAACAATTCATTCATTGGTTTAGAAGACGCTAAGACTCATAAAAATGACCACCGATAAGTAATCATTAAAAAAAAATGAAATGTGGGTGTGGGAGACTCATTATTCTCACTAAAGCAATCAATTTTACGAACAAAAAATCATATTTCTTGAAAACTCGATAAAAATAAAAACAGTTTTCAGGGAACTTTGAAACTTCCTGATTGTTATTAGTTTTCACAAATTAATTTCGCATTAAAAAAATTTTAAAATTGGTTTATTCACAATGACAAAGTAATAGTCAAATTACCTTGCATCTGTAAAGTTGGAATACGATATGAAATATACAGTTCAGGTTGGGAAATGACCACTTCTCAACCCCAACTGTCATTTGTCACGTTTTTCAAAAGTACGAATCGAAGTAATTACAACTTGTAAAAAACTAATAAAACAGATTATAAAAATGTCAAAATCTTTCTGTAAATAACACATTTGAACTAAATTTGTACATCTGCAACATCGTTCCATATTCCCCTATGTCGACTTCAGGCATAATTAAAATAGACCCTCTCCGAACTTAAATGACATTCATGCATTGCATTGGGAACAAATAGGGTCCACTAGAAATGCGATTTCTATAAATAAATATACATATATACAGGGTYGTTCATAATATTTACTTCAGTTGCAGTCTATTACAAGTTTTTGTACATTTAGTAAATAATTATGAAAAACATATACATGAAGACACCGTCAAATGTCAAAAT